TGGAAGACCCGCCAGGCCAAGAAGACCTCCCCCATCCACTGCCACTCCCTGCCCACAACCCCATATCAGGGAAGGTGGGAGCATTACCTGAGAGGAAAATCGGCTTGTTTTCTTTCCTGGCCTTGTCGAAGGCTTCCTGTCCCCAGGGGTACCTAGGCCCAGCAGGGTGGGGCATCACTCAGTAGCCCAGGGGGTCTGGGAGGGGTCTAGGACCCCAGTGATTCCAGGCAGGGCCCCAGGAGAGTGCTCACCAGTCCACAGGATTGTAGGCATGTTGTAGGAGGTATGGTGACTTCTCGTGGATCAGGCGGTTGGGGACTCTCTGGGGTGTAGACGAAGGATGGCTTCCCTTCCCTCCAGCAGGCATGGGCACTGAACTACTGACCGTCGCACTTCGGTCCTTGTCGCGGGAGGAGCTACCCCTGGCGAGGACTGGTGCATCAGGCAAGCTGGGGGCCTCCACCCACCTTATCCCAGGCCCCCCAGCACCTGCCCCATTCCACTCAGCACCCTGGTAGAACCGCTGCTCCCAGCCCAACCCACCTTTCTGAACCATGGGGGAGACTGTGGCCTTTGTGCTCCCCCTTATGTTTTTTGGGGGGTGAGGAGAGGTGGCTCATTGGGGGCTCCTTGCCAGGTTAGTCTCCCCCAACCTCCTGGACCTGGTGGTGGGAAGGATGGCTGTGAGGTCAGGGCGGGTCACAATGGGCAGAATGGTTCTTGGGGCTCCATTCTTACCCCTCCCGGGGCCCCTCCCCGGGCCCTTCCTGGAGCAGCTGCTTGGAGGCATCTCTCTGGCAGGCCTGGGTGTGGCCCCACCGGAAGGCAGCCCACTGTTGGTGGCTGCACAGGCCAAGAGCAGTAGGGTCTGGGACTGGACCAGGTGAGGGACAAACAGAGGAAACTAGACATGGGGACTTCCTCACTCAACGCCCACCTGCTGGGATTCCTGTGGGGCCAGGTCCTGGGCCAGACCCCAGGGCACCTAAGGAATCAGAGGCCTCAGGGAGTTCAGCCTGGAAGTGGGCAGTGCAAGCTGACCTAAATAATGAAAGGTCCATGCAGCAATAAAGGGCTGTGACAGGACACAGGGTACTATTGGAGAAAGGCCCTTGACCCAGCATCCAGCGCTGGGGTGCAAGGAAGGCTTCCTGGAAGCGGTGTTAGAACAGTCCCTGGGGAGTTGGCACTGCACTGGAAGGAAGGGGAGGGGAGGGAAGGGAAAGAATGAGGACGGGAGAGGAGGGGAGGGGAGGAGGAACTTACTGCCAGGGCCAGGTCTCAGAAGCATACTGGAGGTGGGGTGGGGGAAGGGCCAGGCATGCAAGGGTGGTCCAGACAGGCACTGGGGACCGGTGCCCGGGAGACCCTCCACTGAGCCCGCAGGCAAGCGCAGGGAGTGCCCGTACCTGCGGCTCGCGGCGAGGCCTACACCGGCGCGGGGTAGCAGAAGGACGCTGCCCAACCAGGCCCGTGCGCCCAGCATGGCTGCTCCGGGCTGTGGGCCCGGCCGCTACAGATAGGAAGGGAGGGCAGGAGACTGTGAGGGGCGGGTCGGGCACCCATGGAGCCTCGGGCGGGTCTTCGCTGGGACTTGGGACAGTGTGGCTGGTCTCCGAGCGTCACCCTGCGGCCGAGCACAGAATTGCAGATCAGGCACTCCGGCCTTGGGAGAACCCATTCTGTGCATAAAATTGGGCTCTGCCCCTGCCTGGGGACGACAGCCCTTCTCATGGGAACAGGGAGAGTTGTGGGATCCAGGGCTGGGGGATGCTAGGGCCATGGGATGCCAGAGCTTCAGCTCATTTTGTCCAACCCCTGCCCCTTCTACAAATGAGAAATGAGATGCAAGGCGAAGGCGTACCTTGGCCAGGTCCACCAGCTAACAAGCTTTGTTTGTCCAACCTCCTCATCTCTCGGTCCTACTCAAATCCTACCCACTCCAGGAAGCCTTCCTTAAATAATACTGATGAGCCCATTTTATGTCTCATAGGTTACACATGGCCTCATTGGCTACATTCAGCCAATATCTATTAAGTGTCTGCCATCTGCCGCTCTGCAAGGCACTGGGTATACAATGGTGGGCAGAGAGAAATACGGCTCCTGCCCTCACATGGCTCACAGTCTGTTGAGCGCGGCAGATGCTAATTCAACAGTCATACCGATGAATCTATAAACACCCACGTGACAAGTCTGTGAGGGTACAACATAACAAGTGACCTGATCTGGTGGAAGGGGCAAAGGATGAAGACTTCTCTGAGGAAATCACATTTGTGAAGACATGGAGGATGAGAGGAAGGAACTTAGAGGGCGCTCAGGGGGAGTGCTGGGGAATGAGGCAGAGGTACATTTTGTGCAAAGGCCCTGTGGCTTGTCAGTGAGTGAGGGGTGAGCAACTGCAGAAGGAGGGAAGACAGGGAGTAGATGAGGGCAGAGGCAAAATCTTGGAGAGACTCGTGAACTGTGAGAAGGGGATTTTTATTTTTTGAGATGGAGTCTTGCTCTGTCACCCAGGCTGGAGTGGAGTGGTGTGATCTCGGCTCACTGCAACCTCTGCATCCTGGGTTCAAGGCTGGTCTTGAACTCCTGACCTCAGGTGATCCATCTGTCTCGGCTTCCCAAAGTGCTGGGATTACAGGCATGAGCCACTGTGCCCGACTCAATTTTTTTTTTTTTTTTTAAGACGGGATCACGCTCTGTTGCTCAAGCTGGAGTGCAGTGGTTTGATCTTGGCTCTCTCTTGCAGAGAGAGGTCCTTTGCTGACCTCCAGCCCTGGGTTCAAGCGATTCTTGTGCCTCAGCTTCCCAAGTAGCTAGGACTACAGGCGTGTGCCACCACGCCCAGCTAATTTTTGTATTTTTAGTAGAGACGGGGTTCTGCCACATTGCCTAGGCTGGTCTCAAACTCCTGACCTCAAGTGATCCATCTGCCTCAGCCTCCCAAGTGCTGGGATTACAGGTGTGAGCCACCATGTCTGGCCAGAGAAGGGGATTTTTGATGATAGTAGAAGCAAGCTGTTGAAAGGCTTTAGTCAGGAAGGTGACCTGGTTGGATCTGCATTTTGGAAAGATCCCACCAGCTTCCCAGTGGAGAATGAACTGGAAAGGCGCAAGAGTGAAAGCGGGGGCAGATAGGAGGCTATAGCAGCACCCAGGGGAGATGGGAGAGCGGAGATGCAGAGAAGGGGATGGGCTGGAGGTCAGTCAAGGAGGAAACGTCATCAGGATTGGCAGCGACAAAGAAGGCGGTATCCAGGGTGACCTGGAAGGTGGGACCATTCCCTTAAGAGAGGGCATGGGGTGGGGAGTGGGGACAACTCATGGGGTTCATTGTTGGACCTGCGGGTTTGAGGTGTGCACGTGGAGACAGTGATGACACTGCTCGGAGCACAGAGGAGAGGCTGTCAGGAGAGAGGATTGGGGGTCTTGACTGTTGAGATCATGTGGGTGTGGAGCTGATTCAGGGAGACCGTGCAGCAGAGCAGAGAAGAGGGCTCAGATCCAGGCTTGAGTAAGCCTGTGAAAGACACAGATAGAGGTCGGGCGCGGTGGCTCACGCCTGTAATCCCAACACTTTGGGAGGCCGAGGAGGGTGGATCACCTGAGGTCGGGAGTTGGAGACCAACCTGACCAACATGGAGAAACCCCATCTCTCCTAAAAATACAAAATTAGCCGGGCATGGTGGCGCATGCCTGTAATCCCAGCTACTTGGGAGGCTGAGGCAGGAGAACTTCTTGAACCCGGAGGCGGAGGTTACAGTGAGCCAAGATTTCACTATTGAACTCCAGCCTCAACAACAGCGAAACTCCATCTCAAAAAAAAAAGAAAGAAAGAAAGAGAAAGACACAGACGGGGAGCAGCCAGGGTGCAAAGGAAACCCAGACAGGGCAGCACACCAGAGACGAAGGACAGAGTGTCTACATGTCAGACTCCTGAGGGGCCAGCCTGGCTAGGACAGAAAAACATCCACTGGCTTCAGCAACACGGAGGCCGTTGGTGTGCTTAGTGGGCGTCGTTCTAGTGAAGTCAGGCTGACAGCGGAAGTCGACCAGTCAGCTGAGGAGGAAGAGGAAAGGGAGGGGAAACAGAGAGAGATGATGCGTGCTTCACATGAGGGGAAAGATGGGAAGACACTGTCAAGATGGATGGAGCTAATTAAGACACATTTCGATGGGAAGGATTCATCTGAGAGAAAGTGGTGGACGCCAACAAGGATAGAAGAGGTGGTGGTCCTGGGTGGCCCTGAGAATGTGGGGTGTGGCAGGTTGTTGGACAGGTTGGCTAGCTGGAGGGCCCAGCGGGTGCTCGAAATAACATGTTCTGGCTAGAAGGAATGAGGTTAAGCTCAGAGAGCCGGAAGCCTGCCTTGAATGTAGAGTAATTTGGGGTGATGACAAACCTCCAAGTGTGACCACGGTGAGGGTCACTGAGAGGTCAAGGGGACCGTAAGGTCCTTGGATAATGGAGCGACTTGAACTTGAAATTGAGGTAAGAGCTGGATGAGAAGACCATGAGCCAAGACCGAAGCATCCCAAAAATGAGGTGGAGTAGCAGCCCCAGGCAGGGAGGAGACAGAATGACCTATGGCACCACCCTCCTAGCAGGAGGGTTCTTGTAGGGAGGGAGGCAGGAATCGAGGCTATCAACCTCTTCTTTGTGGGAGACAAAACAGCTCCCCTTGGGAGATCTCAGGGGGATCCAGTTTAGAAGAAGAGAGACTGGGTGGCAGGGCCACAAAGGCTGGGTCAGGGGACAAGAAGGATGGAATCATCCCAGGTTTGGGTGTAGCAGAAGATATTAATAGATGGGTGCTGGACTCTGGGTATTGCCTGGCAAAACCAGGAGTGAAAGGCACGATGGGTTCGTGCCTCATGGTCAGTCTCTGAAGAGTGTGGGCCCTGAGCTGAATGGACACGGGCCTGGGGGCATCCACATAGCAACCTCATCAGGAAGAAGCTTCTGATCCCATTTGACAAGTAAGGAAACACAGGCACAGAGACAGGGAGAGGGTAAGTAATTTACTCAAGGTCACAGAGCATAACCACTTATTACTAAGTGATTCTTGTCAGGGTCAAAGCTTGGAGCAGAACTTTGAGCCCTGTCAGTTTGACTCCTGAGCAGGTGTTCTTGTCCATCCTGTCTGTAACTGCCATTGTGGGACTCCCTTCCTCTACCCCCACCTTAGGAAGGGGAGTGGCATTGTGTCCCTACACTCACTGACTTTGGTGGAAGGTCATTTGTCCCTTAAAGGGGATGGGGGCTGGCTGCAGGCTGCCTGCAGAGCCAGGCCCCAAGCACTGAGGACACATCAGTGTCCGGTGGTCCAGTGATCAGGGAGCATTGAGAAGAAAAAGAGGCAAGGCTGGTCATAGGGGCCCCTCCTGGATTGAGTACCAGGCCTCACCCCACCCTTGGTTTCCCAGACTCCACATAAACCCCTAGAAGGGGTCTGATTCCCTCTCTGTGGCTGAGACTGAGTTTCTCACCAGCCTTGGTGAAGCAAGGGAGAGGGCAGAGTTAGATTTAAGGTGACTCAGTAAAACAAAGGAGCCTGAGAGCTCCTGCACTTGGCTCCTGCCACAGCCGCATCACGTGCCCCTGACTTGTCTACCCTGCTGCCCCCTGGCTTGTCTACCCTGCTGTGCTCAAGCTCCTGGAGGTTGGATCCTTCCCAGGTGAGCCCAGCACTTTGTCCACAGCAGTCAGTCAATATTTGCTGAATTAATTCTGGGGCCCTGCCTGGGAGCTCCTGGCCTTGGAGCCAGACTGTCTGACTCTGAGTTCCAGCCCCGCCCCATGTCAGCTTTGTGACTTTGAGCATGCCATTTAACGTGAGCCTCGGTTTCCTTGCCTGAAAAATGGGAGTAGTACCCGCTGCAAGGTGAGAGATCTGTGCAATCGCCCTGCAGTGGGCTTTGCGCTTGGTTTCATGCTCTGCTGTCCCTGTTTTGAAATTCTTCACACGATTTTGAACAAGGAGCCCTCACATTTTCATTTTGTATTGAGCTCCACAAATTATGTAGCCAGGGTCCCGAACGGAATTAACAATATTGTCTACCTCAGAGAGTCGTTGCAAGGATTAAATAAGCTGATCTGCTTAGCACATAAGCAGTACCCAATAAATAGGAACAAAGGCCTATTATCTCTTGCTGTTAGCTCAGCCCCAGTGCCCATGTGTGATAAATGAATGAAATGACCGAATTGAGTGACAGCCTGGGAGCGTCTGGAAGCGAAGGTGCCTGGGTGAGGGGGGATGGAGGTGAGGGTTGAGAGGAGCTGTAAAGGAAGCGGGGGCAATTTTGCACCCCGCGTTGTGCAGCTGCAGTTTCCTAGACAGCCGGTGATCCACGCTGTGGTCGAGACCCGGCCGCCACACCTCGCAAAAAGTCCACTTGCTGAGAGCTAAGAACTAGGGTTCCAGTCTTTATTATGGGGGCGTTCAGTCTCTAGCTCCCGGGCCGTGGTCCATGTCCAGCTTCCAGAGCCGCCGCGTGATTCCAGCCGCCACTGGTTCAGCGACCCACTACCACCCGCGCCCCGCCCCAGCCCCGGGGCCGGAGGCGGGGCCGCGGGGCGCCTGGCGCATGCGCAGGCCGGCCCGCGGCGGGGTGGCGCTCAGAGGAAGGGGTTCGTGCCGGTCTGCGGGGGCGGGGGCAGCGGCCCGGCTGAGCTCGGCGTGGGCAGCAGCGGCTGCGGCAGGCCCGCTGGGGGCGGTGCGAAGGCTCCGGCCTGCGGGAAGACGCTAACCGAGGCAGGGAGGGTCAAGCCAGCTGGCACGCTACTGAGCGGGAGGGGCAGAGAGGCGCTGTAGGTCATGGAGCCCAGAGGCGCCCCCACGGGCCCGCCCGCCAGGCCCAGCGCCGGCGACCCCGTGCGCATCTGGTTTAGCGTTGGCCTGCCTGGCTCGCCCGCGCCGAACGGGTTGGTGGGGGACGGAGCGCTGAGACCTGCAGAACGAAAGTGGCTTGGAGCGACCCGGGATTCAGAGCCCTACACCGGGAGGTCTTGGAAGTTGGGAAGGAGAGTGAGCTCCTCCGGCCGAGGCCAGGCTCTGAAAGCAGGACGTCCCTGGATTGAGGGACGTCTTACCTGTCAGAAAGGGGTTCCGGGTCTTTGCAGCCTGGGGTGCCTTGACCAACGAGTCAAGGTTGACCAAGGAAGAGGCCGAGGGGCCCAGGAAGGACTCGGGAGTCCGGCAAGCTCGGGCCTCTTTGCTTGGCTGGGTTAGTGCTTCCCCTAGTATGCCCAGGTCCAGGGCATCTGGCTCCTTCGTGCCATTTTGCTTGGAACTGGGGCTAGGATCTCCAAACAGGTCCAGCTCTGGAATAGAAATGCTAGAGCTCGCTGGTGGGGAGAGGGATTGGCGCCCGATGTGGGAGGAAGAGGACAGAGGCTGCTTGGGGTGGGCCCCTTGTTCCCCAGAGCCTCGCCATCCCCTTGCCCCACTCACCCGCAGGGCTGCTGGGCTTCCCAGAGGGCAGGGTCTGCTCCAGCCCCTCCTTGATCTCTGTGGATTCTGGAGGTTTGGCAAATGAGTCGAAGGCCGAGGCAGCACCTACAGCTGGGGGAAGAGAGGGAGAGGAGATGGATTGGCAAAAAGAGCAGGTGCTGGTCTAACCCCTTTCCAGAGAAGCTGCCCTGGTAACACATACAGTATCTGCTGCCCCCTTGGCTCTGCCTGGAAGTCCTCCAGCCCCTCACTCACATGCTCTGGCCCTCTTCTTACCAGATGTGTCGGAGGTCTCAATGGAGGCTCCCCAAGGGTCAGCCCCAGTGCTGGGGAGTTTGTGGTGGGGAGAGTTCAGTGCCCAGGGGTCTGTGGTGGGGGGCCCAGCAGGCAGCACTGGGGTCCTGCCCCAGGGCTCAGAGGAAGAGAGCATGGGAGTCAGATCCCAGGGCTGGCTTCGGGACAGGATGGTTCCTGAGGGGATCGGAGACCAGGGGTCTGCAGAAGGCCCCCAGGAGGAGCCACTGGCCTCTGTGTTCGGCCTAAAACCTGAAATGGGAACAGCATAGACATGATCCCAGGCCCACCCTTATCCCTTGCCCAGGGCGCTTCCCAGTTACCCAGCCCAAATTGGGAGGCAGGGGATCCATGTCACAGATGGACTGTGGCCTCAGGACCACCCAGCAGGCTGGAGCCCGTATTTGGCAAGTGACCCCAGGAACTGGGACCTGCAGGTTTGGGTGACTCAGGCCACTTTCCCAGGCAGGGACATGCTGAGCAAGTGAGTGCAGCGAGAGAACATTTGCTGCGTTTCCTAGGAGCTGGGCCCTTCAGACATTCTCCATAGCCCTCACTATGAAAGCCCGTCCCACAGGCGGCGGAGGCTCAAGGTGGTGAGTGACTTGCCCGGTGACACTCAGAAGTTGTGGGGAGGTGCTTGGCCCAGCAAGTGGTTGGGAAGGAGGGGGCATTCAGGCCAGCCTGGAAGTCTCTTGCAGCCCTGCATGCCCACCTGGGATGTCCCATGGGTCAGCAGAGCAGTGTGTGGAGGGCGGGGTCAGGGCAGGTACGAAGATGTCAGCCAAGTCCAGGATGGAGGACTGTGGAGGGGAGAGGCAGCGGGGGCTCAGAAGTGGGTGGGGCCTGGAGGGAGGGCAGGCCCTGACCTGTCAGGCTAATGCCAGCTCATTCTCTTTATTCATTCCACAGATACCTATGCATGATCCCTCACCTTGACATAGTGCTTTACAGTTTATAATGTTTCTTCATCCACAGAGTACCTGATTTTCATAACAACCCTGTGAGGTAGGTAGGGCAGGTGATGTACCCATTTTATGGATGAGCCAGCCAGTGCACAGAGGGTGGAATGGGTTTGCCTGAAGTCACACAGCCAGGGAGAGACAGAGCGGGGATAGAATCCAGGCCAGCAGAAAGGGGCAGGAAGGCCAAAGGCAGATGTTTTTCAACCAGCCTACCTCCCTAGGTCAGTGTCCAAGAGAAATTGGCCACAGTGAACGTGGGCGGAAAGGAGACCACAGCACCCGGGCATGACATGGACAGCTTTGGAGGGCAGCCTTGCACTCAGCAGCTGCCCACTCCCCGTGTGGAGAAAATACGTCCGTGAGCCCGAGGTGTTTTCAGCACCATGTGCCTGGGCCCACCTTAGTCTTGATCGACAGCATCACACAATCCTAACATGTCAGAGCTGGAACTATCCAATAAGCACACTGTGCAGAAGGGGAAACTGAGGCCATGACAGTGACATGCCCCAAGTCATAGAGTAAGTGGCAGCAAATTCAGAACCCAAATCCAGGGGTCTCTGATCAGGATCCCTATGCATCCCACTTTGCTGTTAACTCAGTCATCAGCCCATGCAGGGTGGGACTAGGGCTGCTACACCCCCACACCTATTTCATCTAATAAACATGTCAGTGCTTACTATATGCCAAGCACTACTCTGCTCTCTCTTTACAAATACTCAGTCCATGTCTCAGGCCCTGTCCATCCCACACACCCCAGCCCACTCCCTACCTGGCTGGTTTTTAGTTTCTCTTCCTCCTTTTTCTCTTCTCTCTCGGTCTCTCTGTCCCGCCGATGGTGGACGGCAGGCCCTGCACCATTGGCCATGGGGGAGCCATCACCCCGCCAGGATCTCACCTCCTGCAGAAGGCACAGAAAGGGTCAGGAGCATGAGCAGCGCAAGCTAGAATCCGGGGACCTGTGCACCCGAGGCTGGAGTCGAGAGAGTGCAGGTGGGAGGCAGCTGAGAGGTTAGGAGCGGCAGGGCCACCAGGTACAGCAGGAGGAGCCTGTTAGTGCCCTGAAGCACCTCCACCACCAGCAGCAACAGCAGCACCGGCGGCCGGGAGGGCTCAGCCCACTACCTTCTCGTGCTCCTGCCGGCTCAGGCGCAGAGCCAGCTGCAGCTGCAGGTCCTCATCCCTGTGGGAGGCTGGGGGGACAGGCTGCGGAGGAAGAGAGGTGTGAACTTGGCCCTGTACTCCCACCTTGGGAGTGGAAGGGCAGTATAGCCCTGCCTAGGTCATGGGGATGGAGAGACAGATGCCCAGCCTCAGTATGCATGGGCCATTTGCCCCTCAGTCAGCAGGGTGGGCGTGGCCTTCCCCCTGCCTGCATCTGAAATGCAGTTTAAAGATCAGGAAGACTGATCTTTTGCTTCTGAATCCTCTGAGAGTTCTCTAGGCCTTCCTGTGTGAGGCCCAGCTGCTTCCTGCCTGGTCTTCCTGGATCCACAGAGGTAGTGGCAAAGTTGATGATATCGGGGGCCCATCCTTGTCTCCCCACAAGGATAGCTGGTGGGCGGGGGCGGGCAGCATATCCCAGTGTCTCCTAGCAATGTCTGAGCTCACTCACCCCTTCCACCATGAGGTGGTAGCAGGCCCCCCAAGACACATCAGGTGCCCCTAATTGCACACTCGCTACTCTTTCCAGGCCAGGTGGAGAGGACTGGAGGCGGGGAGGCAGTCCCTGCCTGCGACAGACCGACAGAGACAGTGGGTCTTGTGCTGTCCTTGGGTACAGGAGTGGGGCTTCGGGTGACAAGCCTGAGTCAAGGCTGAGGGGCTCCCAGGCATTCTCCCTCTAGCCCATCCCCTCCCCACCACAGTGGGGTTGCGTGGCCTCACCTTCTCTGCCTCCTCACGGCTCATGGCTAGGGCCAGCTGCAGCTGCAGTTCCTCTTCCCCTGACGTCTGAGGCCGGGCCTGCTCCAGGTCGGAGGTATAGCGGGGTGACGAAGAGGAGGCTGCAACGACCATCATGTCTCTGTGACCACACGATTACCCATTAGCTTCCACACCCCTCTGCCTGCCAGGAAGCTGAGGCTCAAAGAAGAGAACTGAGAGGAGGGGAACAACAGGCCGTGGAGGCCCCCGTGGGCCAGGCAGTGTGCTGGGCACTCTCTGTAAGTTCCCCATCCCACCCTGTCCCGGTGGGACGGCTCCAATCCCTCCTTAGCAGATGCACAGGCAGCACTTAGGGCACCTGACCAGGGTGCTCAAGCAGGACTTGAACCCAGGTGCCCTGACTCCAGCTCTTGGACTTCCAGATGGACCCTGTCCTGCTTGGGGGCAAGGGAAGTGCAAGGATAGGAGGTTCTAGTCCAACGAGGTCACAGCCTCACAGCCCTCAGCAAACTGTCAGGCTTTATGGAAGGCGGGCCATTCTGAGTATTCCTCAGATCGGGGAAGCCCCCACAACTCAGGGCAGGACAGTCAGGGACTGTCCGGCAGCTGCCCTCAGGTAGGGGTATGAAGGGGAATGCCATATGTCTGGGCTCGGGGTAGAGGACATTGCTGAGCCTGGTCTCATTTCATTCTCAAATCAAACAGTGGAGGTAGGTGAGCTTGTCTCCACTGTACAGATGAGGAAACTGAGGTTCAGAGAACTGGTTGCCCAGGTCACACAGCTTGGAGGAAGCAGAATAAAGAATGCTATCTGTCTCCAAACCCGTGCTTCCACCATCATGCCATCCTATCAGGCAGCTAACGAATGATGATGAATCTGTAACAACATTACTATCTGAGCTAACTTGTTGAGCACCTCCTATGTGCCGGGTGTTGTGCCTTGCATGTTACATTCCTTATGTCTGAATCCTCGTAACACCCCTCGGAGGTAGGTATTATGAACCATGGCTTGGATTGCAGAGCCAGGATTGGAAGTCGGGCCACCTCCCCATCCCAGCCACACGCCGGGGCTCACTCACAGTTGTAGGAGGACGGGGAGCCCCGGGAGCGGCCGTAGTCCTCGCCGTAGCGGCGGCTGAAGCCCAGCTGCCCACTGCCAATGCCGATGCCCTCCAGTGCCATGCGCTCCTTGGTCTTGAGGGCATGGGTTCGCTCCTGCCGCAGCCGCTCCTCATCCTTGAGCAGGGCCATCACTTGCTTGACCTTCTCGCGTACGTTGACGCCCTGATCCTTGCCATCGCGGTCAATGTACTGGAAGTCCTTGAGTGTCTGGATGGTGTAGAGGTTCTCGCGGCACTGGTGGGCCACCCGCTCAGAGCCTGTCTTGAGCAGGTAGTCCAGCAATGTCAGAGCCTTATACACGTGCCGCCAGTTCTTGCCGCTGTCATTGAGCCGCCGCCACAGCATGCCCATGACCTCGGTGAAAGCCACTGTGTTGAAGGTCAGGTCAGCGATCTCGGACATAAGCGAACTGGGGGGGCCCCAGGGGTCATTGCTGGTGGCCTCGCGCACCTTGATTTCCGCCTCGGAATAGTTGTGCACGATGTTCTTCACCTGGCGCCGGAGCGCGGAGGTCGTCATGGCTGGAGACTTGGAGGTGGGTGGCCCTCGCCCCCGCCGGAGATGGAGGGCTGAGGGCCACTGTGGTGAAGTCACGGTCTCGAAGGATGGGCCGCTGTGTTCTCAGCAGAGCAGCTGTGTCCTTGGGTTCCACATGGGGCTGAGGAAGAAAGGGCCAGGAATTCAGGGGCAAAGGCCTACCTTACAGGTCACTCAGCCATTGACCAACTAAATGAGGCCTGGCCAGACTGTCCCTGCCTCCAGGGATAGCCTTCAGTGGCACGTGTTCTTATTTCACTTATAATGCAGCAGGTACTTGGAGCTTTGCATGCTCATCTATCTTCACAGTCACACCACAAAGATGCTATTGTCATTGTTTCCATCCACAGATGGGAAAGGTAGGGCTTAGAGTATTAAATGGGCCTGGCACAGTGGGTCATGCCTGTAATTCCAGGACTTCAGGAGGCCAAGGCAAGAGGATCACTTGAGGCCAGGAGCTGGAGGCTGCAGTGAGCCATGGTCGTGCCAGTGCACTCCCACCTGGGCAACAGAGCAAGACCCTGTAATATTAAGTGACTTGTCCGAGATCACAGAGCTGCTACATGGGGGACCAAGGAAGACCTAGGGGGTCTTCCTAGGGGGACAAGATGACCCTAGGAAGCCCCACCTAAGAGTGCATGGCCTCATAGGGGAATGCTAACAGGATTCCAGGAAAGCTCGCTTGCCTTGCTTCTGCTCCGCCACCGCCTCTGTTTCTGCTGAGATCTAGCTTAAGACCTGTCCTTCCCAGCTCCTCAGCTCACTTTTCTCATATTGTTAATTTTTGTAGTTTGGTGCATTCAACACCTATTTCCTGGAGGCCTTTTCTGAGCCAGGCATCATGCCAGGCACAGAACACACGCCTTGGTCCACCCACGTTCAGTTGAGAGGGTACAGAAAATCACAGTCCAGTGTGGGAGTGCAGAGCCGCCCAGGAAGACCCAAGCCAGGAAAATCAGGGGAGACTTCCTAGAGGAGGTGGTGGCGGAGCTGAGATCCAAGATCCAAGGGAAGAGTAAGGAGGAGTGAACCATCGAGTCAGGGGAGGGCAGCTCAGAAGAAATGCTGTGAACTGGGCCAGAAGACAAGAAAGCAAGGATCATTTGAGGAAGGCTGCCTCTCAGAGATCTGGCCAAAGCCAACACTCCCGCCTGCCACCACCACTGCCACCCCCCACTTACACATGAAAGTGTTGAGGCCAGAGAAGGGATGAGACCTGCCTGCGTCGTATGGCACGTAAGTGGCAGAGCCTCGACTAACATCTAGGTCTCCAGAAGACTAATCCAATCCTTATTGTCAGTGTTACCCAGCTTAGTCATTAATTCATCGGATTGCTTTACTGTCTCAGTCCCACCTTCTCAGCTAGAATGGAAGCTCCCTGAAAGTAGGAACAGTCTGGGTTCTCCAAAGCTCCAAAGCCCCAAAGCCCTGGACACATGGTGGACCTCAGCTACCCCAGCAGGGAGAAAAGCCAGGCCAGCCCAATTCGCCCCTAATAGCCGCAGGTCCAAGCTGTCTGCTGAATACAACCCCAGGCCCCAGGTCCTCCCAAGGTCCTTTCAGAAACCAAAAGAGGAATTCCTGACCACCGCCATTCCTCCCACACTAGCGCTGGTCTGTGCATGCACACACACACTGGCTGGGCCTGCAGAGCTTCCACTTCACCCGTGAACTCTCCCCCACCCACCAAACAACTCTCGGCTCCACCCTCCATCCCAGCCTTTGCCCCAGCTGGTCCCCAGGCTGCCAGAAGCAGGAATCTGAAGGAGACCTTCCCCCACCCGACACCATGTTCCTTCCACCCCAGCCCCGCCAGTGCTGGGCTCAGTTCAAAGCGGCCCCACGCTTTGAAAACACGCCTTGGCAGGTTTTGTTTGGGGCCCAGAGAATAGGATCCCGTGGGAGCAGACGAGGTGGAGAGTGCCTGGCCCACAGCGCAGCCTACCTTTTGTCTCCTGTCTGTCTTTCCTTCCAGCGGGTGGTGGGCCTTCTGTGGGGATGCCACGGCCACAACTTGTTTAACTCCTGCCCTCCCCCTTGCTAGTGACTCAGACCTGCCTTCACCTCCCCATCCCGCGACTGGGGGTGGCAGAGTCAAGATGGGAAATAATGTGCATCAAAGCCCGCCCAGCGCACACCCCTACCGGCTGGCCACTGGAAGTAGCAGAACCAGTCGAGCACTGACTCCACCAGAGCCCTACCTGGACCTGGCTGCCCTGGCCCTCCGGCCCGGCCCAGTTAGGGGCACCAGCCTCTGGAAGGGGACTCTCAGTGTGGGCCCAGCGGCCCTGCCTGGACCTTTCTCACAGGAGGTGGGCATTCTCTGCACACCCTGCAGGGGCTGGGGGGAAGTGTGGGGTCAGAAACATGGGGATGAACACCTTGATATTCCTTCTCTGGAGTTTGAGGGAACACGGTGAGGCTGCCAGAGCACAGAGAGGGGAGGAGGAAAGGAAGGAATGCGGGAGGGAGCAGCTGGGAGCACTGCCAGCAGTGTTACAAGCAAAGGGTTTTATCGAACACAATATGCCCAGAAATAAAAGGGAGTGAAACAGAAACCCAGCGGCCGATAAGGCAGTGGCAGTAGCAGCAGCAGTCCTGGGCAGCTGGAGATGGAATTACTGCAGTGACCTTGAGCCGGACCCTGTCAGGTGGAGGGAAGGGCACAGAGAGGGCAGGGCCTGAGAATTCAGAGATGAGGGAGAGGACAGAGGAAGGAGGAGGCTGAGGGGATGGGAGCATGGCCAGCAGGCGGTGGGATGGGCCACGGGGCATGGAGTATCAGCTCTCGCCTACATACAGGGTCCCAAGGAGAACTGCGCAGTAGGGAGGGGCTGCTCTTCTCAGGGCCTGCAGGATGGGGGATCTGGAGAGCTTCCCAAAAGTCAGGACCGAAAAACGCAGCTCGCTAGTCCCCAGCAAGGGCTTCAGAGAAATGGAAAGAACCCAAATCTGTCCAGTCACACGTGCATGAGTTTGCGCAAAGTCTGTGCACCCACCAGCCCAGCCCACACCCCATTCCCGTCCTCTGCTAAGGTGGGCTCCAGCCCCTGCCTCCAAATCAGGTCCAGCCTGAGCAGTGGGGAATGACAGTGCCCTTCTTGATGCTGTAGGAATGGGGGTGAGCTTGAGCTCTAAGCTTCTGGCCACTGTAACAGCTGCCTCCTGGGAGCACAGGAGATGGGGGAGGGGGGCTACCCTGAGGCTAGAGGTGTGCATGAGGGGCTGAGGAAGAGGAAACAGCAGAGATGTGCAGAAGGAGTCTGTGGGGAATGCCACCAAAGATACTAAGTCCCAGGATGGATGGGGAGGGGGCCCTGAGCCCCTTTCTGGGGGCTGCAGGGAGGGAGGGGTGGCAGGAATGAAACCTTTAGGTCCTCTACAGCTCAGCCTTCTCCCTCGCACCTGGAAAAGAGACTAAGCCCCAAGCCCACTCTTTGCTCCCCACCACCTCCCACCTTCCATGCCGCCACTGCCAGGGAGGGGGCCAGGGAGGAGCTTACCTCCAGTGCGGGCTCCCTCGGCCCCAGCCCCGGCCCGAGTAGCCTCTGCGGTGACCCTCCAACCTGTGCAGCAGGGGGACGGCACAGCCTCGGGAGCGTCTCCAGAGCCATCCACCATGGGCCCTCGTCCCAGAGAGCCACCTGCTCCCAGGAGGCGCAGACCCCTCAGAGGTGCAGCGGCAGGGTCCCTGGAATGGGTAGCAGCTCTTCCCGCCTGCGTTTGCCTCCTAGCCAGCGCCAGGCAGCACTCTGAGGAAAGTTGCTCAGCTGGCCCGGCAGGTCTGCCTCAGCAGTAACAGGACACAGGAGGAAGCGCAGGGCAGGTTAACCCCTTCCTGCTGGCCAAGCAGGTGGTGCATTGAGAGGTGGGGGGCCTGCCTGTTGGCCGCCCCCAGTGAGTGCAGATCTGGAGCCAGTGCTGGCGACCCGATCCCCTCTGCTTTGAGTTAACCCTTCCCCTGCCTCTTCAACAGGAAAGGAGGGGGGCTCCAACACCCCCACCACATCACTCCCCTTCCTTCCTTGGGCCAGGAGGACATTAAAGGAGAGGGTAGGGCCATTCCCTGGGGCTGGCTTTTTGGTGGAGCCCCTGCCTTCTAGGGGAGGAGGGCATCAGGACTCCAGCACAGCCCCCTCCCTGCCTTTCCCACACGGAGTCAGATCCTGCTCTCCATCCTCCTTCTGCATCTCAACTGGAGGATCCCTGAGGCCCACTTAAGGACGCCCACCCACCCATAAACCAAAGTTGTTCTTCAAACTGGGAGCCTGGAGTGCTGTTCACATGGGGAACCCAGTCCCAAATGGTTATGACTGACAGAAGACAATGATGGGCATGAGTCTGAGCTGACAGTACCTTTCTGAGAGCCATTTCTAGCCTGTTTCATGTTCCCTTGAGCAAGGGAGGTAGCATGAAGATCAGCAGCTGTTTTTAAGGCAGAAAGATGGCTCAAGGCCAGATAGTTTGAGATGAGGAGGGGATAAGGAAGACTAGACCCCAAAATAACAAGGTGATGTGGCCTCTAGAGCTGAAAAGGTGTGGTGAGCATGATCTGCAGGGACTGAGTTGGGGCCCTGGGACCCAGCTGAAGGGAGATAGCAGGGAGCCAGGTCCCATGGGTCTAGTTCTACTCCTCATCTCACACTTTGTCATACTTGGTGATGACACTTCGGGAAGACCTGGCTCCAGGAAGCATGACCCTAAAAGTTTGGGACAAGGAAGCCAAAGGCAGGGACTACCAGAGGTGACACACTGTGTCCTGTCACCTGACTCCTTGTCTTGCTACCAACCTGCTCTTCTGCTTGGCATCCCTCACATCACCTCCCCAGCTATGTCTCTCTCCTCCTGCTGGAGGGCTCTGGCAGCTGGCAGGAGGGGATCTGAGGGCAGATGGGACATGGGAGGACCTGGACCAGGAGATGACCTAGCCAAGATCCATCATGTAAGACACAGAGGCACACAGAAGTAGTAGAAACTTGAAGGTTCTTTATTAATTAACCCGTTTTCCAGAAGGTTGCTTGGGCCCGAGAGTCACCTGCAGAGACGCAAAGGCTCCTCGACATTCTTTATGGGGCTGAGCTCATCAGCCAGGACCATCAGGTCGGTCACCAGGGTGTCCACCAGCCCATGGACCTGGAAGAACGGGACAACATCACAGGCAGGGTTTGCTCTGTGGGAGGCACCTATATATCAACTGTGCTGTGGGAGAATAGCTGGAGAGGGGAAAGAAACCAGTTGTTTGTGAAATAATTTCACAAGTTCAAAGTTCTTCTGAAATAATTTTTGGTTTTGCTTTTTTTTTTTTTAAAGACAGGATCTCTCTGTCACCCAGGCTGAAGTCCAGTGGTGTGATCATGGCTCACTGCAAGCCTTGACTTCCCTGGCTCAGGTGATTCTCCCACCTCAGCCTCCCAAGTAACTGGGACTACAGGCGTGCACCACCACACCTGGCTAATTTTTTTCTATTTTTTTTTTAGAGATGGAGTTTCACCACATTGCCCAGGCTAGTCTTGAACTCCTGGGCTCAAGCAATCCACCTGCTTTTGCAGTTTTATTTTTGAAACCAATCTGGGGAGGTGGCCCTGCGCCAGTACCTTTGACATATGGAGGCACTGGAGCCAGGTTGTTAAAGGGGAACTCCAGGGATCCCATGGAGCAGTGCCCATTTAGCTGTTTGGGGTAGGCCTGGGCTCAGTCCCAGTTCTACTCTGATCTCCTGGAGGCCAATTTTCCTTCCTGTATGATAACAGATCCACACACTGAAAGGTCTCTGGGACTGAGCCCTCCAATGGGGTTGGATCATACAAGCCCAGGCAAGTTGATTCTTTTTTTTATTTTTTTCTGAAGAGATGGGGTCTCCCTGTGTTGTCTAGGCTGATGTCGAACTCCTGGGCTCAAGCAATCCACCTGCCTCAGCCTCCCAAAGTGCTAGGATTACAGGTGTGAGCCACCGGTGCCTGGCCAGCAAATCGATTCTCTTTTTTTTTTTTTTTTTTTTTTTGGAGATAAGAGTCTTGCTCTGTCACCCAGGCTGGAGTGAAATGGCATGATCTCAGCTCACTGCAACCTCCACTTCCCGGGTTCAAGCGATTCTTGTGCCTTAGTCACCCAAGTAGCTGGGAGTATAGGTGAGTGTCATGCCTGGCTAATTTTTTGTATTTTTAGTAGAAATGGGATCTCACCATGTTGCCCAGGCTGGTCTCAAATGCCTGAGCTCAGGCAATCTGCCCACCTTGGCCTCCCAAAGTGCTAGGATTACAGGCATGAGCCACTGCACCTGGTCTGCTAGTTGATTCTTAATATCAAAGAGCCATGGAAGGGTCGACCCCCATGGGTCCTCAGAGCCCTTTAATTACTTTCTAGACCCCATCAACCATCAGATATCTTAGTGATGTCACCAGTGGCAAAGGGAACTTTTGATCAAATGAGATCCAGAGTGTGAACACAATACATGATGTAATCCCAGCTCCCCAGGTGTCCACCTTAGAAGAATACAAGGCATGGCCATTAGACATACTGACATATTGAAAATGGCTTTGTGGACCTCCCTTCCAAAACAAACAACAATAGTAACAAAAAAACAAAACACAAAACCTGGGTGAATCTCTAAGGACCTGCTACTTAAGAACGGATTAGGATGAAGTCTCTCTAGTCCTTCAAAAACCTTACAATTGATGGGAATGCACCCTACATGGTGTTCTCCCAAGGAACACGTCTGCCAGGATGCACCTAACAGGGAGTAAGTGGAAGCAGCATAAAGAGAAGGGCTTCCTTCCTCTCTATTCCCCTAGAGTCTGTTCTCCAAAGGGCAGCCAGAGCCATCTTCTAAAGCCTATCAGACCCTATCGCGTTGCTCTTCAAAACCTTGCATGACTTCTCATTTCCACTCCGAAAAATCCCAAGTCTTCACAGTAGCCTACAAACCATCCCTCACCCCTATGACCTGTTCCCCATCTACCACCCTATCCCTTCTGGCCCCTCCCTCCTGTGGCAGTTGCTCCCCCTGCCTAAAGCACTCTTCACTGGATGTCCATTTGGCCTCCCTTCCCCTCCCTTCAAGTCTTTGTGGGTTGTCACCTCCTCACTGAGACCTCTGTGCCTCCACTCCCTGCCTGGTCTATCTTCTCTCACATCGTGCTCATCACCTAACATGCTAGGCACATTTCTTATTCATGAGGCCTGTCTCACACACGAGGATGCCCTTCCTGAAGCAGCTCTGCTTCCACCATGATGGAGTGGGCACTTATTGTATGCAGACTGAACGGAATAAATGAGGCAGGTGGGAGGTGGGGGAATGGCTGCTGGGTGCTTCCCTTTACCTCGCTGTGCAGCCTCTGGGTGTATTTCTCCATGACCAGGGTGTCTGTGGGTTCTTGAGAAGGGAGGTTGATGTCAGGGATAGGGTCTTCCAAGGAAAACCTGTCCCGACTTGTAGATTTTATGACTTTCTTGTCATCCTTTGCCCTGTGCTTCTTGCTGTTGGGACGGTCCTGCTGGGAGAGGGAGACACACACAGCCTTCAGGAGCACCAGAGGTAGGCCCAGGATGTCCTCAACAGTAGCTCACTGGGAGAGCCTGGGCACATGCCCACCTCCACAGCCCCCACATCTGCAGCCCCTCCAATCCCCTCCCCAGCCCCACCTGGCCCAGACCACGCCCCAGCATGACTCCTTCCTGACTACCCTGGCTCCTTTCTTGTCTTCTTTGTCTTTGATCCCCAGTTGCTTCTTTTCCTGGGCTGCTCCTTTCCGCTCCTCCTTCCCAACTTTCCCCACAGGTACCTTCACTTCCATGATGGCAGGTGATTTTTGATCTAAGGGAGGTGGGTGGAAGAAAATGTGACAGGCCCCCAGCAGCCTAGTGGATGCTGCAGGCACGTGAGGAGGCTTGAGGGGAGGTGGAAAAGCAAAGGACAATAGCCTTGAGCCCTGGTAGGCGCGTGACTTCATGAAACAGGACTGTGGTGTTTCTGTGTTCTGGTCCCGGCTCTGCCATGCTCCCATGAATGACCATGGATAAGTCATTTAACTTTGCTGGGATTACTAAACCAAGGTGGTCACTAAGGTAGCTTCTGGGTACCACATCCTGGCAGCTGATAGAAGGGGGTAAGGGGCCTACTCCATGGGCTCAGCCTAGCAGAGCTTCCACCATAGGAGTATGACTGGCCCAGGCACTGCTGCCTGTCCATTCAGAGAGATGAGGAGGGCTATGCAGAGGTGTGGTTGGTTGCACAAGATCTGACCTTGCTCTTCAGGCACATTCAAATAGATGGTCTCCTTCTCAGGCAGGCCCAGCAGAGACCTCAGCCACAGGGAATGGCTCACCAGGCTGTCAATCACATCTCGCCACAGCTGCAAACTAGAGGGCAAGATATAGTGGAGAAATGCCATCACTCACTTGTCCTTGAACCTGCAGAGGCTTGGGTCCCTCCCTTCAAAGACCCTGGTGCTAGGAACTGCTGTGGAAATGCCACACGCCTGAGCAGCCAGCATCCTCACTGTTCCCCACCAGGGCAAGTGCTTGGAGGGGGTTCTGGCTTGCCTTGGGTGGCAACCAAGAAAAAACATGGCCCAGGACTAGGGTTAGGAGGTCTGCATGAATTCAGTCCTACTTCAAAGGGCTTGAGGCCAGGGCCAGACTTGGGCCCAGTCCCACTGGAGGGGCTGAACCTTGCATGAGACTTCCAGCATAAGGCTCTTGGGGCTTGTCCTGAGGGCCTTGAAAAGGACCCCACGCCTATACAAGCAAGTTCCAAACAGGCACTGGGGAGGGTGACAGCAGAGAAGTGAAGCTTTTAATGGAATCTGCCCCCACCCTTCTTTCTGCCCTCTGGCTTCTCCTTTTTTCATTCCTCTGCTCATTGAGAAGGAAAAAGGAAAAAACAGGAAGAAAAAAAAGTGAAGGTGTTTGATCTGCTGTGACTGCTCTCCAGTGAGCAGCAGGCACCACAGGGTTCCAGAACATGGAATGTTTGCGGCATGCTCTAGCAACCTGAGCTCAAGGGAAACTCAGAGTCCTGGAGTCCCAAGACCCCTGCAGATGCCACAAAGGGAAGGAGATGGGGCGGCTCTCCTGGCAGGGCACCTACCCCATCTGGTGCAGGAGGTTGGACTGCAATGGCCTTGGCTTCTGGCACAGCTCCAGGGCTGCTTTGTTGAGCCTCATCAGCGCATCCTCTCTCTGGTTCTCATCAGGGAGCACCATCACTGCCTGGCAGGGTCATGGGCACCATTCTGCACCAGGACACCAAGGCTCTCTGTGTCCTCTAGTGAAGGGCATGGTGATGTGGGGATGGGTGGCAGGGGACCAGAAACCAGGAGGGGATGCAGCCATGGAGAGCTGTCTGGGTGCCTTTGGTGGGAGCCAGGGACCCCCCTCAGAAATCTGTACCTATGAACCCCTTCTCCAAGATTTGCCAGGGTCAGAGAGTGGACCCCCCTCCTGGAACATAGAAGCGCGGGCACCCCAGACAAAAACAGGTAACCCGGCTGGGCACGGTGGCTCACGCCTGTAATCCCAGCACTTTGCGGGGGTGAAGCGGGTGGATCACCTGAGGTCAGGAGTTCGAGACCAGCCTGACCAACATGGTGAAACCCCGTCTCTACTAAAAATACAAAATTGGCCTGGCATAGTGGCTCACGCCTGTAACACCAGCACTTTGGGAGGCCAAGGTGGGTGGATCATGAGGTCAGGAGTTTGAGGCCAGCCTGGCCAACATAGTGAAACCCCGTCTCTACTAAAAATACAAAAATTAGCTGGATGTGGTGGTGCATGCCTGTAGTCCCAGCTGCTCTGGCAGGCTGAGGCAGGAGAGTCACTTGAACCCAGGAGGCAGAGGTTGCAGTGAGCCGAAATTGCACCACTACACTCCAGCCTGGGTAACACAGCAAGACTCCACCAAAAAAAATTTAGCCAGGTGTGGTGGCGCATGCCAGTAATCTCAGCTACTTGGAAGGCTGAGGCAGGAGAATCGCTTGAACCTGGGAGGCGGAGGTTGCAGTGAGTTGAGATCGTGCCACTGCACTCCAGACTGGGCAACAAGAGCAAAACTTCATCTCAAAGATAGATAGATAGATAGATAGATAGATAGATAGATAGATAGATAACCCAAGAGATCACTTTCTCTGGGCTCTCAGATTTTGTTTCTTTGCCCATGGAGCAAGAGGGGCTGCTGGGGCCTCCTTTGCTGGTTCGAGGCAGGAATATTCTCTACCAACGCCTTCCAGGGTCTTGGAAGCACCTTTCTGAAATCCTCCAAGCAGAGATTCCACTCCAGCAGGGGAAGGCCATCCGGCTCCCAGGGGCTCTTGGCGCTGTCCACCTCTGGGCTTTCCTCCACCAGGATCTCCTCCATGATGCTCTTCTGCTGAGGACTCTTGGTTCCCACTCTGGCCTTCTGGGATCCGGATTCCCTGAGGGCCTCGTTCTCAGGCTGGGGCACTTGAGGTTCAGAAATGGGGCTCCTAAAGTGCGGTAAGAGCTCGGCATTCACAGAGGCCTTCTCTGTGGCTATGGGGCTGACGTGCTCCTTGTCCCCTGGCCTGGCCTCCTCAGCGTTGGGGGGCAGGGTCATGTACTGGCGCCACAGTTCATGCAGGCTTTGCACCACTTGGTGCTCGTAATGCAGCTGCAGCAGAAGATGGGAAGGCTTGTGAGGGAGAGGCTGGGGTGCAGGCACCGGAGCCCATGCCAGCTGGCCCTGGCTTCTTCCCGTTCCCCTGAGGGCACTGATGGAGGAGGCAGGGAGGAAGCCAGCAGGAGGGCTGCAGCCAGAGGGGCCCCCTACTTCCTTTTCAACCTGGGAACCTCCAAGTTGAAGTTATTTTTTTGCATTTGGGCTTCCAAGGAAGCCTGGGTTTGAATGAAGGAGTTGTGAAGCTCCGTTCTCATCAAGAATCCACTTATTAGCAAAATTACCCTGGGCAAATTACTTCATCTTTCTGGGCCTCAGTTTCCTCAATGTAAATGAGGATGTAAATAGTACCAGGGCCAGGCACAATGGCTCAAGCCTGCAATCCCAGTGCTTTGGGAGGCCAGGGTAGGAGGATCACTTGAACCCAGGAGTTCAAGACTGGCCTGTGTGACAGAGAGAGATCCTATCTCTACCAAAAAAAAAAAAAAAAAAAAAGAGAGAGAAATTAGCTGAGCATGGTGATGCATGCCTGTAGTCCTAGCTACTCAGGAGGCTGAGGTGGGAGGATCACCTGAGCTGGGGAGTTTGAGGTCACAGTGAGCTATGAGTGGGACACTGTACTCTGGCCTGGAGTGTGACAGAGTGACATGCTATTTCTAAAAAATAAATAAATAAAAATAAGTAGTACCCATCTCATAGGACTGCTGTGAGGAGAGGTGAGGTATTCATGGAAGATGTGTGCAGAACAGAGTTTGACACATAAAAGAGTTTGCTATTACTCTCACCTACGGCAGCAGTCACAACCTTTTTGGCACCAGGGACTGGTTTCATGGAAGACAATTTTTCCACGGATGGCAGGGAGTAGGGGAATGGTTTCAGGATGAAACTGTTTCACCTCAGATCATCAGGCATTAGTTAGATTCTCGTAAGGAGTGTGTAACCTCGATCCCTCGCATGTGCAGTTCACAATAAGATTTGCGCTCCTATGAGAATCTAATGCCACTGCTGATCTGACAGGAGGCAGAGCTCAGGCGGTAACGCTGGCTCACCCACTGCTCACCTGCTGCTGTGCGACCTGGGGGTTGGGGACCCTTGACTCAGGGCACACATGATGGGACAGAGGCTGGTGCTGGGCCTCACCTGAGGATTCCTGTGCTGGAACAAGTCTTCCTTGGTGAGATAGGCATCCACAGGTGATGGTGTGCGCTCCGGGGTCAAGACCCCCATCAGCACCTCCTGCAGCACTTCGTGAACGATGGTGACTGCCTCATGGGCCGTCAGTTTGCTCTGCAAATGGGAAGGTGGCAGAGGATGGCAGCCCAGGCTCTCAAAACCCATGCATCCTTCAGGAAGTTGGAGCCCCCAGGACTTTGTGCCTTCCTAGGGTCTGAGTTCCTGGCATTGGCGCTCTCTCTCTCTCTCTTTCTCTCTCTCTCTCAATCTCTCTCACACACACACACGCACACACACACACACACGCCTGTTCTAAGACCCAAAAGCCTCTGAATCTCTCCAGACATCCTTGTTCCTTAAAATGGATGAAAAGGATCCAGAGGAGGGCCAGTTCCAGGGAAGGCTGCTGCTGCCTGGGGCCTGGTGGTCACACAGTTAGCATGTCACCAGATTAGGAAGAAGGGGTGGGGCACACAGTGGGGGTGCTTCTGAGGATGGTGGTGAACCTTCATCAGGTTTCAGTCAGTGTCACAGAAACACAGGGGAGGGGCACCTTGTGTGAGACATGAGTGCTACAGTCAGTGAGTAAAGCAAGCATGACATTGTCAAAATGACCTTTGATCACCACTGGCTGAGCTCCAGCTGAAGGAGCCGGCCTTGTGACTGGGGACCACAAAAAATAAAAAAGCGCAGCTTTCTACCAAATCCCAGGATGCATGGCTCAGATGGCCACACTGTGAAACTGATTCGGGGGGACAGATTCCCAGCTCCCACCTCACACTCACTCCAGAGTTGTCAGCTGATTGAGTGGGACGGTGGGCAGACTCACCCTGCTATTTATTAATTATTATCCCTGGTTTTGAAGTCTTGTCGGTTAAACGCAACTCCACTGTATAGTACTAGACAGCGATGAACAAAACACAGACCAGTGCATAGGGCCACGCATTGTTTGTACTTTACACAGTCTGCCTCTTAGGCTCAGTCTAATTTCTTTCTAACTCAGTGGGGCCATGCATGGCATTGCTGCAAGCTGCTCCTCACCTGCCTAGCCAGTGCACCCATCTTTTACATCACAAGCCCTGGCAAGTGTTCATGGAGCAAAATTAGTTACCTGTTTGCTAAAAATTCAGTTCTCCTCTTAGGCTGGGAGAAATACCATCCCTGCAGGCACTGCCAGGAAGAATAGCAGGATACCCTAGCTGATGCCCACAGCGGCCATGGTCCTGGGTCCCTTACCTCCAGTACTTTCCTCTCATCCTCAAAAACATCCTGGGTCAGGGAGACTGCATGGAGATTGACTTGCAGCACAGCACCTCCTAATAGAGTAGGATGGGTTCGAAACTCCCAAAATTCCCTGAAGATCCCAGCAGTCAAAGACTTGAAGAAGAAGGTAAAGGTTTTAGTTTCTCCAGGCAGAATCACACCTGAGAGGGACAGAGACTGAGGTTTTCAACATGCAGGAGCTGGCTGAGCCCCAGACCTGTATGCTCCTACATGCAGTTAACTGAGCCCCAGGCCAGGTGACTGGCCAACCATCCCAGTTTGCCCAGGGCTGAGAGGTTTCCTGGAAAGGGGGATTTTGAGTGCTAAAGTCCCAGGCAAACGGAGACAGCTGGCCACCCTAGCTCCAGGCCTGTGCATCTAGATAACTGAGCCCCTAGAACGTTTCTGCTCCCAGGTGGCTCACCTCCCTGGGTTCTCAAGTTCCGTCAGTCTCTCAAAGACATGAATAGTCAGGCCATACATTTTACGGAAGGAATGAGAGGGACTCAAACTTACAGGAGCTGGGCCATAACTAAATTTTGATGTCTCACGAGGATAAAACCGGCCCCAGACAGGAGCCAGCGTGTAGGGTGGCTTCTCCCAAGTACCTTCCCGGCTGTTAAAGTAAAATCGCTGCATCCTATTTTTCTTCAGGTCTTGGAAAGTGTCCGGTTGGTGCTGCCGTCGCCAGTCATACCAAATGGCCACGGTGCCATTATTGACCACAGTCAGTTCTGAGGAGGTTTTCTCGCCTTCTAGGGTTTCAAAGGTCAAGTGAACAGCAATCCCGACCTGCCTCTGGAAGGAGAAGGGACAAGAAATGTCTTTGCTGGAGACCCTGGCCTAGAGTGAACAACTCATCTGGTCTGCCCAGAACTTTTCTGGCTTTAGCACTGCAAGTATCGTGTCCCAGGCCTCCAGGGCTTGGCCACTGTCACACAGAGTGGTATCCTACTCCAATGTGGTTGTCTCTGAGGTTACCCTCAATAGTAAGTAGAGAAGATAATATATATAAAAATATAATTATATATATATTTATATATAATTTTTTTTTTTTTGAGACAGAGTTTCGCTCTTGTCACCCAGGTTGGAGTGCAATGGTGTGATCTCAGTTCACTACAACCCTGCCTCCTGGGTTCAAGCGATTCTCCTGCCTCAACTTTCCAAGTAGCAGGGATTACAGGTGTCCACCACCATGCCCCGCTATTTTGTATTTTTAGTATAGAGATAGGGTTTCACCATGTTGGCCAGGGCTGGTCTTAACTCCTGATGTCAGGTGATCCAGCCACGTCAGCCTCCCAAAGTGCTGGGATTACAGGCGTGAACCTCCACGCCTGGTCAGATAAAATATATTTTATACCCAATGAACATTTCTATTCCTTAGCATCTGAAGAATATTTTGGAACTTTCTTAGAGCCATACCTACTTGAGAGAGTTTGCTTGTTTACATGCTTGGGGGCTAGGTATAAGCCCCAAGTGGCTTATGACAGTCTGCAGCCTTGTGATTTTATTCTTGCTCAAGTTAGTGTTGCTGTCACCATTTTCAGATGAGCTGAATGCATGACCAGATAAAAACGCAAACAGGAGACTGTGCAGGCTGCTGGTTACTGCCACAGACACCTCGGGGCTGCACCCCCGAGGGAGGCCCTCCAAGCAGGTGCAGTGGAGGCAGTTTTACCTTGTTCTGTGGATTACTGCCTCTGATCCAGCAAGCTGGCTTCCCACAGAACAGAAGAGAAGGGCCGAGAATAGGCATGGGGACATCAGAGGAACTGGCCAATGTGCCTCTGTAAGAAAAGCCAATGACTTATTTTCTCTTAGGCTGCCAGTCATGCCATGTGGAACCCCACAGAAATGGTCACCAGGAAGCCGAGAAACACAACCAGCTCCACCCTGCAATGGAGTATGATCAACTCCACTCCTGTGCAGCTTCCTCCTGACCCATTGCTCTAGGTGGGAGGTTCTTAGAAACACACAGACTCTTCAAGCCCTCCTGCCAGAGCTATTCATGGTACACAGAGATACACAGACTCTCCATGCCAGAGGCATTCACAGCAGTGGGAGGGTCTAGAGAGCCCTCACTTGACCAGCAAGGGAATGTCTGGGAAATCCCCATTAGGAGTTGTTGGAAAGGAGCAGGTGGCAACAGGAAAGCTAGCACAGCTGCTGGAATGGGTTCAAGGAGTGGGTGGCAACCACTGGAGAGAAGCTAGGCTGGAGGCACCCTGATCTCAGGGAGGGAAGCCTGCTCTTTCATACTGGTAGTTGCTGGAGAACTCTTCAGCCTCCCTCCCCCGGGTTTAGGCTGCACTCACAAGTATGTTGTCTCTTCAGAGGAGCTTCCCTGACTTCTTTCAAACACTGTGTAGTCTTCCACAGTAACAGCTGAGAAGGGCTGCCCTTTGCCCACCACCTCCAGGCCATCAATATCCTCCGAGAGATGGAGAAAGGTTGGAAGAGCTGACTGAAGGCAGGCACTGCCCCAAGGCGCTTCTGACTGGGGCATGGAGGCCATACTAACCTGCTGGCTGAAATCCAGCTCTGCCATGATTTTCTGCAGCTCCTTGCGTCGGTAGATCAGAAATAGACTCCGATCCCAGGTGTAGCGGTATGAAGCGTCCCTCTGGGCTGGTAATCCTAGCATGAGGTCCAAGGACCCTCAACACAGGCTGCTGCCATGCCCCCTTGCTCACCCACTTCTCAAGGGCTCTGAGAGTGCCTATCCCAACACCATTTCTAGGAAGGATGAAAAATACAGCTTCCCTGCAGCAGCTGGACTCCGCTCTCCTGTCCCGTATCTCCTCAGCAGCCCTACACAAGACTGCTGCAAAATTAGCTTCCAAATAGCCAAATTTTTGGATGATAGTAAAAATGATAATAGCAGCTACCTTTTACTGAGTGCTTAATGAGTCAGAACTTAATACATTTCATATCTCATTTAGCCCTATCACAACTCTGTGCATATTTTACAGATAAGGAAACTACAGGCCAGAGGGGTTCAACCACTCTGGGGTTCACTAACATGACATGGCTGGGACCTGAACCCAGGCAGCCTGACAGGCTCTAAAGCAGATATGCTCAAGAGAAACAGGATGCAAACCACAAACACAAGCCACATGTGTCACTGAAAGTTTTCTAGATGCCACACTGAAAAAGGAAAAAAGAAACAGGTGGGATTCATTTTAGTAATATAGTTTATTTATTTTATTTATTTATTTTTTGAGACAGAGTTTTGCTCTTGTTGCCCAGGCTGGAGTGCAGTGGCATGATCTTGGCTCACTGCAACCTCCACCTCCCAGATTCAAGCAATTCTCCTGCCTCAGCCTCCCAAGTAGCTGGGAGTATAGGTGCGCACCACCATGCCCAGCTAATTTTTGTATTTTTAGTAGAGATGAGGTTTCACCATGTTGGCCAGGCTGGTTTTGAACTTCTGACCTCAAGTGATCCATCTGCCTCAGCCTCCCAAAGTGCTGGGATTACAGGCGTGAGCCACTGTGCCCGGCCTCATTTTAGTAATATAGTTTATTTAACTCAGTATATAAAAAATATTGTCATTTTGACATGTAATCAATATAAAAATGATTAATAAAATATATTGTTTTCACACTAAAGCCAGTGTCCAGTTGACAGCACTTCTCAGTGCAGGGCAGCCACGGTCCAGGTGCTCACTGGTGGCATGCAGCTCAAGGCTCCACACTGGATGGCAGCTCTATGGCTGCACTCCAGTTTCCTAGCTCTCTCACTGTTTTACTGAAGAAAAGGAAGAGGGAGCCAGACTTCAGGAAGATTCTGGGACTTGCCTAAGGCCACAGAGAAACAGGCCCTGGGCCGCACTGTAGAGCCATGCTGGCCACTGCCACACTACCCTGCCTCTGGGCCAGGCACAAGATGCCAGCTGGCTTACAGCCCTGCGCCTCACCTGTCTCCACCCGGATGGAGTGGGGCTTCCCGATGTGAGTGATGGGCTCCATAAGGCCACGCTGAGTTTTTGTCTTGGTCATGACCAGACCTGTCATCTCATCTCCCAAGTATTCCAGTCGACTCCAGAACCCACTGTTCTCCCAGCTCTGGCAAGGAAGGAAAGGTGAGTCAGATTACCTGGACACCTCAGCCAGATGCTGGTGGAGATGTGGGAAGAGAAGCACCACCACAGGCTACAGATGCTCCCTCTGGGGAATTCACCGCTGCCATGATTGCAGAACAGAAGCATCCACTGCCGCGTTTTCTGGACACCCTGTTGTCATCTTTACCTGCCCCCAGCTAGATGGTGTGGGTTGGTACAGGTACTGCACTGGTCTACCAGAACAAAGAGGGGGGACTCTTCAGCCTCTCTCCTTAGGGTGTAGGCTTCACTCAGTCTAAGCTCCTAGGAGACAAACACTAAGACTACTCTAATAACTCGCTACCTGTGTGGCCACCACAGGCCGAATAACTTTACTGACTAATCATAGAATTTAGTAAAGGCCTTGAGGGCTTAATGATGCTTTGCAATGGATAGGTTTTTTTCTCCCCAGCTGTGCCACCTGAAACCAGCATCCCTGTGTCCAGACACCTGCCCCCCATCCCCCTCCTCCGTGCCACCCCCTGCCCCCCGGGCACTTAGGACAGGTGGCCTCACTTTCCTATCACGCCGCGTTGGAAGTGTGCAGTCAATGAGCTCCCGCTCCTCCTGGATCCGTCTGTAGGTCTCCCCAGTGTGCATGAGCAGCTCACTGATCGGCTTCTTTAGGTGTTCTAGAGAGAAAGGCAAGATTGCAGCCACTCTGCCAAACCAGAACAAACAGGGGCCTTGGCAGTCGGCAGTCTGCATCGGGCAGCCTCCCTCACGGGGCTGATTTCAGGACCCACTGAAGCTTCAGAGTGAGACGCTCTTGGGAGTGAACAGCACAAATGTGGTCAGCCCGAGGCCAGGCTCTGGAGGAGTAAACAATCCAGCAGAGCCTTGCGCCAGATGGAGGCTGGGCGGGAGCCCTGTCTGCTCTGCTCACCACTGAGGGCTTCCTGCTGCTTCTTCCGCAGGGCTATGTTACGCTGCCAGTTTTTCAGAAAGTTGTGCTGAGGAGGTGGGGCCCAGGGAGGTCTCTTCTCTTCTTTTGGGGCTTTTTGCTTTGACTCTCCTTTAGCAGAGATGAGGGTCATCAGACAGGGTGAGGTAGGTATCAGCTCAGCCAGCTGAAAAGTACAACATAGGCATGTGGAGGGCAGTGACAAGGCTCTGGGCGGGGCTGAGCACACATTTCCTGAGGCCTAAACCCATGCTGTTATCCCACTGTGCTGAGAATCCCTCCTCTTCAGGACTCCAGGGTAGCCAGTGACAGAAAATAAATCCCAGAAGCAGGGGGCCCTGAAAGCAGCTGTCAGTCCACTCTCCCACAGAAAGGGAACTTCTGTTTCAAGATTGGGGTCAACATCTTCTAGTGTTATTGGTCCTCCTCACAACTGACATTGATTGACACCTTCACCCATGTGTAAATGGAAGCATTCTTACATGGCCCCAGGCCCCTTAGCACCTGACCAGAGTCAGCCTGGATCCAGGGAAGCAAAAGGAAGAGACAGGAGAAGCACTGCATGATGGGAAGGTTGAAAAGATACAGAATCTTCCCATGGCCCAGGAAGCAGTGGGAAGCCACCTTCCTCCACCACGTGGAGTGAGGAGGGCAGGCCAGTCTCCAGAGAAGGGAAAATCAAGACAGTGCACAGAGCAGAAGGAAATGAGGCATATGGGCCCTGAGTCCTGATGCCTTTCTGGGTTCAGTCTACTCAGACCCAGGTACTCCCACCTTGGGTTCCATGAGGCAGTCTCTGGAATCCTTATAGTAAATCCCCGACTTCACTGAAGCCAGCTTCAGCTGCCTTTTGTGCCTTGCAACTGAAGTGTCTAACTATTCTGGGAGAGGGTCCCTTATCAACTCAGACTCGAAACCTAGAGACTAAACTGTCTCTTTAACCCCAGCCCTGCTTGACTCTGTCAGGTGGAAGACCGAAATGACTTCAGTGACTGCTCTCATCCAGGTAGTTCTGTGCAAACAAACCCGGGTGTTCCCTCGAGCAAGTGCAATTCTCTTAAAGTCCTGGAGACTCCCCAAGATGTGGTGGGGCAGGATCTGGTCACTGCCATCGAAGCTGTCACCGGGATCTGTGAGGATAAAAGAAGAAAGGGGAAAGAAGCTGTGGGTGGGCAACTCTCAAGAGGGCAACTTTCTGATGGAGACTGGGTTTGTCTTGAGGTTGACCCATGAGTTGAAAGACAGTAAAGCCAGGGCTGAGACTGGATGTACCAGAGTAGTCCAGAGGCTTTGTGGCTGCATCGGGATTTGCAGGACGTGCTACAAGGTGGCAGACCTTCCTCCTAGGATCCGTGGGTTTGAGTTTACGGATGATAAATCTCTGGGTAATGACGCGTTTATCTTCCTTTTCAGTAAGGCGAGGAATATGTTGCTAAAAAGAAATAAAACAAAGGAGAATTCCACCTGTGGTGGAAGGAGGAAGAGCACCACCCATCTCCTCCGTTCTAGTTCTAGGTGGAGTTCCTGAAGGCTGACAGATCTGTTTCTTCAGCTCTGCCCATATGTTCTGTTGAGGAAATGCCTGCGTAACAGATATGTGACTTAGTAATATCCTGGAGGGAAAAAAAGAACATCTTATGCCTCCAGATAGTTCAGGTGAGAGATGGCTGACTCTCCCAGGTGAAGCATGGGGTTAGGGTTTAGCAGCTTTACCCAGAGCTGTACCTTTGCTCCTTAAACTCATCCTTCCTTCTGTGAAATGGGAATGATGGCACCTACCTCTATGGGAGCAAGATACCTCATCATCTCATTTCTCCCGTGGTTCTATAGGAATCTCAGAAATGTTAAAACAGACAACACAGGGAATTCCTTAAGGTGGTAAAGTGAAAAGAATCTGTGTTCAGTGGATTTTTGCATGGAGTTAGACACTCCCCATGAGTAGGGAGATGGTGGGAAGACAGTGGACATGGCTGGTGTTCTAGACCACTCAGGCTGCTGGCAGGGAAACGTTTCTATGATAAGGGAAGCTTAGGCTTCATCCTCACCTCCTTCAAGTCTTCCTTCTTAATGGCCAAAGCAAGAATGTCATCTCCTTGTAGGACATTGCTAACAGGTTCAGGCTCTTCCTGAATTGGGGGTGTGGGTTGTTCAGGTCCCTTTGCCCGTTTCTTTTCTGAAGAGAAGCAGAAAGTTATTAAGTCCTTAAAGAGCTCCTTCTGTATATGTCAATATATACACACAAAAGTATAAATATATACTAGACTCCATGGGGGTGGGGTGCGGTGCAGAGCTGGCCAGCTGGAGAGATAGCAGAGGCTGCCAAGGTGGCCTGGGCAGCACTTTGCTGGGGCAAGAGGAGTTCCCTCTGGAGGGCCCCCTACCCACAGCCTCTGGCTCACCACAGTGACTAAGACTTCTGTAGCCAGAATTTAGATCAGAAGATGCTTCATTTCAGGCCAGGTATGGTGGCTAATGCCTGTAATCCCAGCACTTTAGGAGGCTGACACAGGAGGATCACTTGAGGCCAGGAGTTCGAGACCAGCCGGCCAACATGGTGAAACCCCGCCCCCACTGAAAATACAAAAATTAGCCAGACCATGCCTGTAGTCCCAGCTACTCGGGCAGCTGAGGCAGGAGAATCACTTGAGCCCGGGAAGTAGAGGTTGCAGTGAGTTGAGATCGCGCTACTGCACTCCAACCTGGGCAACAGAGCGAGACTCTGTCTCAAAAACAAAACAAAACAAAACAAAAAGATGTTCATTTCGGGTGCCATGGTGCAAGCCTGGAATCCCAACACTTTTGAGAAGCCAAGGCAGGTGGATTGCTTGGGCCCAGGAGTTCAAGACTAGCCTGGGCAACATAGTTGAGACTCCATCTGTACAAAAAAGATTATTTTTAATATGCAAAAAGATGTTCCATTTCAGGTTATGCTATTTATAAGCTGGACAGTCTTGGGCACACATCACTTAACCTCTCTAGGCCTCAGGCTTCCCATGTGTACAAAGAGTCAGTTGGACTAAATCAGTGGTTCCCAACTATTAGTCCAATGTCTGCCTCAGAATCTTGGGAGGAGTTTTATGAATACAGCTTCCTGGCTACTGCATGGAGCCAGGGAGCTGCAATTTTTTCAACTCCCTAGGTGCTTCTGATGCACAGTGGTTTGGGACAACTGAACTAGATGTTTTGCCAGTGTCCTCCAGTGCTGGCACTGATCCATGCTTCTGGGTGAAGGCATTGGGTTTCATAAGACACTGGTTAAAATGCAGAATCTCTGTGGGGGAAGCAGAACATTCACCACTGGCCATTTATTGCACACTATTTCATTAAAGAAACATTGTTGAGCGGGTGCGGTGGCTCAAGCCTGTAATCCCAGCACTTTGGGAGGCCGAGACGGGCAGATCACGAGGTCAGGAGATTGAGACCATCCTGGCTAACACGGTGAAACCCTGTCTCTACTAAAAAATACAAAAAACTAGTCGGGCGAGGTGGCGGGTGCCTGTAGTCCCAGCTACTCGGGAGACTGAGGCAGGAGAATGGCGTAAACCTGGGAGGTGGAGCCTGCAGTGAGCTGAGATCCAGCCACTGCACTCCAGCCTGGACAACAGAGCGAGACTCCGTCTCAAAAAAAAAAAAAAAAAAAAAAAAAAAAAAGATTGTTTAAGCAGCTTCTCCGTGCCAGGCACTGTGCTAGGTTCTGGGGATCTATGTCAGAGCTTGTCTTTAAAGAGCACATGCCCAGTGGGAAACAAGACCGTGAAACAGACTGAACCAGAGTAACTACAGGAACATGGTGGGGAGGAATACCCAGCCCAGAGTCGACAGGTGTGGGAGGCGGGGGGGTCAGGGAGGGCTTCCTAAGGAAGGGATGTTTAAACAGAGCTGAAGAAAGAAGTTGGAGAAAGGAAAGGGCCCTGGGGAACAGGCATTCCAAAGAAAATAACATAAAGAGGCATAGAGGCAAGAGAACGGAGCACATCCCTGGAACTCAAAGCATGTGTTTTTAAATAGCTAGAGTGTGGTGAGGTGGGAGGGAAGAGGCAGAGCCCAGAGAGAGCAGCAGCAGCCATATCGTGCAGAGCTCAGTGAGCCATGTGAAGGCTTACCCCATGGGTAATATAGCATGCCAAGGAATGGATTAAGAGTTGCAAGATATTGGGAGGCCAAAGCAGGCAGATCGCTTGAGCCCAGCAGTTCAAGACCAGTCTGGGCTCTATAAACAAAATACAAAAATTACCCAGGCATGGTAGTACATGCCTGTAGTCCCAACCACTTGAGAGGCTGAGGGGAAGGACAGCCTGAGCCCAGGAGGTCAAGGCTGCAGTGAGCCAAGATTGTGCCACTGCACTCGAGCCTGGGTGACAGAACAAGACCCTGTCTCTAAGAAAACAAAACAAAAAATCCTGCAAGACCGAGATGAGCGTATGAATGTATTTAAGAGTCTGTTGTGGCAGCCAGAGCATGACATTGACAACACCTGGGGCAGAAGGGGGTCACAGGTCACTTTCCAACGAGGACACACTCCCTGCCTTCCTTTCACAGAGGTGGCTTAACAGGTTCAAACACATCTCATTTCTCTGACTGGTCAACCCTGTCATTTTCCCTCTAGTTCAGAATGGTTTGATATAAGGCCCTACATAAAACAATCAAAAGAAAATCTAAGTTCTGCCTTTAGGGAGTTTAAAACAAAATTTAGTTTTATCCACTGCTTCTCACAGCACCGTAATCTTTAAGAGGCAGTATCACTAAAACATCAAGGCAGGTGTTTTGGTTAATAAAATCAAACTTTTTTAAAGGAAATTTCCATAGAGTTGGTGGCCAAAAAAACTCACACCAAAATCATTCCAAACATAGTTCTAAATTCAGCCTGTTGGCCAGGTGCAGTGGCTCACGCTTGTAATCCCAACACTTTGGGAGGCCGAGATGGGAGGACTGCTTGAGGCCAGGAGTTCAAAACCAGCCTGGGCAACACAGGAGAACCTATCCTTAAAAATTTTTTTGTTTTTCTGTTAGAAAAAAATAATAAATTTGGCCTATCATCCACAGTCTGTTTCTGTGATGGGGTCAGCAAAGGTTCGGGAGTATCTGTCTGTTAAATGCACGCCTCTGTGCACACAAACACACATGCGGGGCTGACAGCTGAACCCCGAGTTCCAGTGTCATCTGCCGCCAAGTGTGGAGATGCAGCCTTGGGCTTTGATTTCTACCTCCCCTCTCCCTTCTACACAAACTCACCAAAGTGGGTGGCAGCCTATGAGAACTGAGATCAGTTGAAGGTCTGCTTTTGTAAATATTTTGGTATTACCTGTATTTTCTAGGACATTTGCTTCCTCGATCCATAACCTTGACTGGGTTGACATCTTTCCAAGTGATTAAACATCTCCAGATGTGTGTTTTTTACTGGTGGGTACACAGTTACCATGTGTCAACAGAAACTTTCAACACTGCTGAAGATTTTTGGGGGCCAAAGCTCGCATCCCTTCAGTGATAGAGAAGCCAATCTTTCATGTTTGGTTTAGATTGAAATAGTAAAACTCTGGTCTAAGGTTATTCTGAGAAAGTTATCTTTAATGTAGTCCAATGAATGCTCTGTTACTGCATACAGTCAGGGAGTGGTATGTTCTAGTTAATAAAATATTCATTAAAATGATATATACATTTTTTTTTTCTTGAGATAGAGTCTCACTCTGTCCCCCAGGCTGGAGTGCAGTGGCGTGATCTTGGCTCACTGGTGCGATCTCAGCTCACTACAACCTCCGCCTCCCAGGCTCAAGTGATTCTCCTGCCTCAGCCTCCCAAGTGGCTGGGAATACAGGCATGTGCCACCACGCCCAGCCTTTTTTTTTTTTTTTTTGAGATGGAGTTTCGCTCTTGTTGCCCAGGCTAGAGTACAATGGCATGATCTCAGCTCGCTGCAATTTCCGCCTCCCAGGTTCAAGCGATTCTCCTGCCTCAGCCTCCCAAGTAGTTGGCATTACAGGCATGCACCACCATGCCTGGCTAATTTTTTGTATTTTTAGTAAAGGCTGGGTTTCACCATGTTGACTAGGCTGGTCTTGAACTCCTGACCTCAGGTGATCCACCTGCCTCAACCTCCCAGAGTGCTGGGATTACAGGCATGAGCCACCGCGCCCGGCCGCCCAACTATTTTCTGTATGTTTAGTAGAGACAGGGTTTCACCATGTTGGCCAGGCTGGTCTCAAACCCCTGACCTCAGGTGATCCACCTGCCTCAACCTCCTAGAGTGCTGGGATTACAGGCATGAGCCACCGCGCCCGGCCACCCAACTATTTTCTGTATGTTTAGTAGAGACAGAGTTTCACCATGTTGGCCAGGTTGGTCTCAAACTCCTGACCTCAGGTGATGTGCTCGCCTCAGCCTCCCAAAGTGCTGGGATTACAGGCATGAGCCACTGTGCCCAGGGATATATATATCTTAAATTGCTCCTAGGGACCGTTTACCAAGCCTCTTCTATGTGCAATAAACTACAAAGACAGTGTAAAAGGTTAAGATATGGCTCCTTCTCTTGAGGTACTGAAAAATGTAACAGACGTGAATATACACCAATCATAACATAGTAGAGGAGTTCCTACATTTGCAGTACAGGCAATAGGTTTGGTTAGACATCAAAAAAGGAACAGATCCATGTGGATTATACAGTTCAGGGCTCTGAAGAAGGGTTCAGAGGAACAGCTGCAGAGGTGGCTCCACAGGCTGGGGCAGGCCTCGAAGGAGAGACACGTACAGGTATAGCAGCAAACCGAGATGCTCCAGGTGAGGTCAAAGTCCAAGCAAACCAGGGAGCAGGGCTGAGCATGGCATGTGAGTGGCACAATAACACAGAAAACTTGCTGGGGAGGTGGTGATGTTGGGGATGAGAGGGAAACCAGAGCATGACAGCTTTGTAAAGCATGGCTCAGGCATCTGATCTTTGGTCCAGGGGAGTGAGTTGATGACAGGCGCATTTCAGAATGATTCATCAGATGCGGAGAGCCAGATGGACCGGAGAGGCAGAGGCAAGCTGGGAAGACCAGGGAAGGAAGAGCCCCAGGGATCATTTTAGGACCTGCAGGAAGACTCCACAGGGCTGAGGTATGTCTGACTACTGAGCCTGTAGAGGCCCAGCACTCTCTGGTTCTTTGGTCTGGAATCCCAAGCTACAGGGCTCCTGGTGAGCCACCCAGCTGACATTTCTCCCTTGATGCTGACAGTGAGGGGTAAAAGAGACCACCCCGCTTGCATGGGGTAATCAGTCAGTCTCTGTTGGAGCTGGATCAGAGGGCTGGAAGCAAGGTGCTCAGGGGGGGATAGGAAGGGAGATGCAGAGGGGGGAACTATGGAGGGAGACGAAACCTGGACTCTTTCTGCTTCTTGTTTTATCTGAGTATTATTTGGTTTTAGTGTTGATTAAAGTCTTTGGGAAATTCTGACCTTAGGGTTGGGCTGGGGGAACCATGGAGGGGCTGTCCCTACTACGGCAGAGCTTTAATTCGTTGGGGAGGGGAATCTAATACTGCTGGGAGGGTTCTTAGCTTCTTAGCAACAAGACAGCAGGGGTAGGGGGGCACATGGCGGGAAGGCAGGGTACTGGGACTCAAAAAGGCTCTCAGGTCCCAAGAAACAGGTTTAAGTCACTGTTTTTGCTTTCCTTTTTGCTTAAGAATCAGAGACTTTGGAGAAACATCGCACAAGGTTACAAGATTACATTTGTTCATTAGCTGCCTTATATGGGGGCTGGGGGAGAGTACTGCACTACAACATTATAGGCTTCCCTGAGATATTTTTAAAAAGATATCTTGCATGCTAACCACTTCATTTTTTTCCCCCTCCTCACTCTGGTGCATGTTCTTAACTCAATGGTTAATTAACAAACTAAATTTTCTGCTTATTAAAAATAAATATGCAGTAAAAAAATCTTTCCTTGATTTGTTTATAGCAATTCAAATCTGATAAGATCTCCCAGAAACTATGTGAGCAGGAGGCAGTAGCTAGGAAAGCCCTTGACTGCCCTTGAGAAAGGGGACCAGATATTCCCTCTCTCTCAACTAGTAAAAAGTATGTCATGGGACAGGCATGGTAGCTCATGCCTGTAATCCCAGCACTTTGGGAGGCCAAGGTGGGAGGATCGCTTGAGCCCAGGAGTTCAAGACCAGCCTGGGCAACTTGTCGCTACAAAAAAAAAAATTAGTCGGGCATGGTGGTGTGCACCTGTAATACCAGCTACTTGGGAGGCTGAGGCAGAAGGATCGCTTGAGCCCAGAAGTTCAAGGCTATAGTGAGCTATGATTGTACCACTGCACTCCATCCCGGGTGACAGAGCGAGGCCCTATCTCAAAATACATACATATATATATATAAAACATGTCATAAAACAGCATTGGACTTTTATTTTTTTAATAATGGGGGTCTCACTGTGTTGCCCAGTCTGGAATGCAGTCAGCTATTCACAGGTGTGATCATGAACTCCTGGCCTGCAACAATCCTCCTGCCACAGCCTCCTGAGCAGCTGAGACTGCAGATGTGCTCCACCATGCCCGGCTCAACATTGGACTTTTATACATGAAGAAACATAGAGCCACACTGAAAAGCGACTAAGCTCCTGTTAGTTTTCTGAGCGTCCCCTGTCCTCACACTGAGCTTTCACAACTCTGAGGCTGGGTCTCCCCAGGGTCTGCAAGAGCACATCAGGCTTTCTGACCTAGTACATAAAGCCCTTTCACGGTCTGGCCCCTGCCCTACCCACCTGTGCAGCCTCTTCTGGTTCCCACATGTACAGTTCCATAAACTCATGCTGCTTCCTAGACCTAGAGAAGCAAATCTCTCCTTTTTTTTTTTTCCTTGTCTGCCATAGATGTCACCTTCTTCAGAGGACGTCCCCCTACAACCATCCCTGGTCTAGCTCAGGTGCTCTGAGGCCCCTGAAGCCCGATGGGCACCTACATTGCAGCATTTGTATTTCTACCTTTGTCTGGTTACTCCTCCAGGCGTTCATTAGACTGAGTTTCTTGAGGACCAGGGTCACACAGTTAATACCGATACCCTTCTGGTGAACCACAGTACCACACGAAACCAGCTCTCAGTAAACAAAACTAGGCTGGGCACAGTGGTCCATGCCTGGAATCCCAGCAGTCTGTGAGGCTGAGACAGGAGTATCGCTTGAGGCCAAGAATTTGACACTAGCTGGGACAACATAGCAAGAGCCCTGTTTCCACACACACACACACACAAAGCTAAAAATGAAATTTAAAAATAAATAAATGGAAACAGCAAAAAAAGATCAAAAGGGGGTGGGTTGCAAATGAGAACATGTCCGTGGAAGTTGTCCGCTATCAGACGCCCTGTGGCTCTCCCAGGTGCAACCAGAAGGAAGCTGTAGAGGCCAGGAAGCAGTCATATCTAGCGACTCTTTTCAGGCTAAAGGAGCTGGATAAGTGTCATCCAGCTGGAAAGTGCACGTGGTAGGAAAAGGCAGTCAAAAACAGAACTAGCCAAGCAAGGCTTTTCTTCTGGGTTTTTCCAGCAGGAATCCTGAGTGACGCCTGCCCCCCATCAACCCTCCTCTACCGAAGAACCCCCTCAAGGTGACTGGTTTCACCACTCCATTCTTTCCTCTTCCCAAGGATCCCAATTCCTGGCCCTTCTACCCTTAAACTCTTTCCTGGCTCTTCTGCACCTCATCCAGTCTGGGGATCCTGCCTCCTGCATGCCACCCAAAGATGTGGTTAGAGGTAAAGGTATCCCTGCCTGCGCAAGGCCATCTCCCCAGCCAGTGGTCGCTGAGGCCCCTCTGTCAGTCTCCCACTTCCTATGTCCCCATTCTCAAGGCCCAGTGCGCTGTGGGTTCTTCCTGCCTTGCCCCCCCATCCCTAAGGGTCCTATCCCCAGTACCCTACTTCCCCGTGATCTTTCCTCCATCCCTGGTGCCATCCCCATCCTCCAGGCCCCGTGTCCTGAACTCATTCCAGGGACCGCTTCCCCTGTCAGGTTCTACTGAGCGCCCAAGGCAGTCGGCGCCAACCTTTGAAGCTCTCTGCGGCCTCTAATAATCTGGCTGGAGTTATTTTGAGGCGGGAATCCTTCTTTAGAGACTTCATGGTGCCGTCCCGGCGGTGAGCGTGACCCTGCACCGCCCAGCCCCGAGACACCGAGGCTGCGCCGCACCCGCGGCGACCCCGCGCACGCCCGCCAGCCAGCGGCCGCCACTGCGTCCGTAGCAACCGGCGCCCCGCGCGGGGAGGGCACCTACCAATCAACTTGGGCGGAGACTGCTTGGAAACCACCTTCTTCATCGGGCCGCGCACGCGCCCGCCGCCGGCGGCTCCAAGAGCGAAGGACCCCTAGAATGCCCCGCTGGCCCGACCCGTGACGCCACAGGCGGCGCCGACAAGCGCCGTGACGTCACCAGCCGGGCGGGGCGGGGGACCCGGGCGAGGACCCCCGCGAGTTGTGGGAGCCGAGGGCTGGGTGGGAGCGGCTGGCTGGTAGGGGTGCGGGAGCCACTTCTCCCCGCCCTGCTGCTAGGCCACGGGGGGCGGGTGGGGCGTCGCAGGTGCCAGCCCCTGCTTCCCACCTTCCTCGACTAAGGCCACGTCCTGTCGAGAGACCTCCCTCTGCCCCCCTCACAGCGGTCCGGGGGTATCGGGCCTTTCAGGATGTGCTGAAACCCCTTGCGTGGCGTACCGTGGGTTTTAGGTGTCCGTGGCTGCCCTCCCCGACTCGCACCAACGCGCCTGGTGACCTCCTGGGCCCACGCTCGCTGCAGCCACTTTGGCCTTTCATCACTTCCCCGAACAGCCAAAACTTTTGCCCCGACTTGGGGCATTCTCACAATCCTTGAAGATGCTGCCTCTGATTATTTTAAGTTTATAAACGCACCCGCTTTTTTCCCCTTCTAGAGCCCTGACGCATTCTTGAATTTTGTGTGTGTGTGTGTGTGTGTGTATGTAGTTGCCTATTGTCAAACTCAGAATGTATGAGAGCAGGAGCTACCTCAGGCCCCGCCCCCAACCCAAAGTTTAGTGCCAGTAGTCACGCAGTAAATTGTACCTCAAATAGTGAAGGGGTTCTAGAGCCAGACAGATTGGGTTCTAATCCCACCTATGCCGGCTTGCTAGCTATGTGTTCTTGAGCCAATGTCTTGACCTAGAAGAGCCAGTTTTCTCTGCTAGGCGCAGTGATTCAGGCCTACAATCCTAGTGCTTTAGAAGGCTGAGGCAGGAGGATTGGTTGAGGCCAGGAGTTCAAAATTGGCCTGAGCAACCTAGGAAGACCCCATTCTAAAAACCTCCACCTCCCAGGTTCAAGCGATTCTCCTGCCTCAGCCTCCTGAGTAGGTGGGATTACAGGCGTGTGCCACCACACCTGGCTAATTTTTGTATTTTTAGTAGAGGCAGGGTTTCACCAGTTGGTCAGACTGGTCTCGAACTCCTGACCTCATGATCCGCCCGCCTCGGCCTCCCAAAGTGCTGGGATTACAGGCGTGAGCCACCGTGCCCTGCGTAAAAAATTTTTTTTAATTAGCCAACTTTGGTGGCCCACACCTGTGGTCTTAGCTATTCTGGAGGCTGAGGCAGGAAGATTGCTTGAGCCCAGGAGGTCCAGGCTGCAGTGAGCTCTGATTGCACCACTGCACTCCAGCCTGGGCAACAAAGTGAGACCCGCATCTCATACATCCGTCCATACATATATACATACATAAAATGGTGGTCATAATGCTGCCCTCACAAGGCCACTGCAAGGGTTAAATGAATATGTATGTATTTATTTTTCTTTGAGAGTATCTCACTCTGTTGCCCAGGTTGGAGTGCAGTGGCACAGTCATAGCTCACTGCAGCTTCAAACGCCTGAGCTCAAATGATCCTGCTGCTTCAGCCTTCCAAGTAGCTGGGACTACAGGCATGTGCCACTACACCCAGCTAATTTTTGAATTTTTTGTAGAGGCATGGTCTTGCTATGTTGTCCAGGCTGGTCTTGAACTGCTGTGCTCAAGCAATCCTCCCACCTTGGCTTCTCAAAGTGTTGGGATTACAAGCGTGAGCCTCCTCACCTGGCCTGAGTGTGCATTTAAACTATGCAACAGGGTGCCCTCCACAAACTGTAGTATCTTCTCAGTCAATTCTCAAAATCATGCTGGGGTTGAAGGGAGGGGACACATTATAAGCCCATTTTACAGATGGAGAAACTGAGCTCCAGAGAGAAGAGTGTAATGTCACCTGACTAGTGGGAAGCACAAATTGAACCTGGTTTTCAAAAGTCCAAGGCCAGGGCTCTTTGGACCCTGTCTCCTGGGACATTTCTGAGTTTGCAACAGCTGCCCCAGACAGCGGAGGAGCTAGAGAGGAGGCCAGCAGGGCTGGTGAATCCCTGAGCTCCCTGTGTGTTCCCCATTGCTGGGTCCTGCCCCAGGGGCATGGTCCCTTCTTCACACTGCTCTGGACCTTGCTCTCGTTACGACTGCAGCATCCTCCGTGGACAGCCTCTCTTCTCCTGATCTCCGAGGTCCAGGCTCCGGCTTCCCTCTACCCTCTAGAGAATCCCCAGTTCCATTTACTTCACAACTGAGCACTTATGATCCAGCAGGCTGGGTGCTGTGCCATGTGGGTCCTCCAGGAAGCAAGCGCTGAGATGAACATAGGAGTGCAAGAGGTTTATTGTGGGGAGAGGGGGTAGTGGCAAGGCCAGTGAAGGAGAGGAAGCAGGAAAGGGCTGGGAGAGCCTCAGATTGTGCTGCAGATCTAACAAAGTCTTGGCCAACCCACCGTGTCCTCTAGGCAAAGTATGTTTGTTAGAAGCTGTAAGCTAACTGCCCTCCTTGTGGGTGAATAGCACGTTCTTTCTTGAAGGGAGACAGGAATGGCTTACCTCCATGGCTGTCCCAGAAGCTCTGTAAGATATGGAAGAAAATAAGAAACATTTCCTTTTGCCCTTTGGAGCTCAGAGTCCAATCAAACCTAGGAATCTTTTAGACACGAAGTGGGGTCATTTGAAAGTAGATTTCCAACTCTAATGTGTGAGCTCATGGGGTAGTAATTAGCTGCAATTTAGGAACCACAGACTGGATATGAGGGGGGCCTTCTTAGAGGAGGTGGGTCACTAAATAAAGAGTTCAATGGGTAGTTCAAGGGGCAGGTACTCCAGGTAAGGACACAGAAGGTACAAAGGCCTGGAGGGGGCTGGGCATGATGGCTTGTGCCTATAACCCAACACTTCTGGAGGCTGAGGCAGGAGGATCACTCGAGCCCAGGAGTTTGAGACCAGCCTGGGCAACATAGTGAGACCCTGTCTCTACAAAAAAAATTCTAAAAATTAGCCAGATGTCATGTCACGCACTTGTGGTCCTAGCTATACAAGAGAGTGAGGTGGATGGATTGCTTGAGCTTGGGAGGTCGAGGCTGCAGTGAGCTGTGATTGCACCACTGCACTCCAGCCTAGGGTGACAGAGCAAGACTCTGTCTTAAAAAAAAAAAAAAAAAAAAAAAAAAGCGCAGTGTGTAAAGCACAAGCTCACATGACAGCATCACTTCACCAGCATAGCTCCTGCAGTCTCCTCCCAGCTCCACAACTCTGAGCAACTTCCTGGAGCCCAGGGAGGAGGAGGTGGTGGCTAGGTTGACAGAGGACACAGCATAAATTATTGCTTCATGTCTCTGTTTATTTCCACCCATCCAGGTGCTGGGCATGTCGTCAGCTACTCCTAAACAGCCTCCCTAAATAGAAAGCGCATTTCCTCCACAGACTGCATCATCCATTTCCCAGGGACAGCCACCCTCCTAAAGACTGAGGCTGGGGGTCATCCGTTCTCCAGCCCCTCACATCTGGACCCCCTCCCGGTTCATCCTACCACTGTGTCTCACTTCCGCATACCCACCTGGCCTGCTCCCCTATTGTTTCCATTGTGCCCCCCCACCAGATCTGGCCACCCCCACACATAGCTGGCTCATGCCCCTCACATCTGCCCTCACCCACTCACATCTGGCAGCTGCACCCCTTAAACGATTCATCACATCACTGCCCTCCTTACTACAACCTTGCTCAGCTCACACTCAGAATCTTAAATTCTTCTTAGCCCAAAACACAGGACGCAGCTGGACTCTGCTCCCAGAATGGACTGACTTCAGCTTCAGGGATGACACAGAGACTCTGGGACACTTCTTAGGAAGGACACAAGGGAGGATTTTCAGAGGCTTTGGAGTAAAGTGTGGGTTTGCTTCTCAACTTTGCCCCCACTTGGGCTGTCTGCTTTAGAGTGGGGACAGCCAACTAGGCATGGTGGCTCACACATGCAATCCCAGCACTTTGGAAGGTCAAAGCAGAAGGATCACTTGAGCCCAGAAGTTTGAGACCAGCCTGGGCCACATAGTGAGACCCTATCTCTACTGAAAATAAAAATTTTTTAAATTAGCCGGGTGTGGTGGTGGTGCGTGTCTGGAGTCCTAGTTACTCAGGAGGCTGAAGCAGGAGGATTGCTTGGAGCCCGGAAGATCAAGGCTGCAGTAAGCTATGATCACACCACTGTACTCCAGCCTGAGTGACAGAACGAGACCCTGTTTCAAAAAAACCCGAAGAAACAAAAATAGAGTGATAGAGTAGGGACAGTGCCTGTCTCACATGGTCACGGTCACCTTCTTGTGCCTCATCCTATTCGTCATCCTCAGAACCCCTACATATACACTTCTGTGGGATCTGTCTGCCCTGCTAAAGCACAAGTTCCAGAGGTGCAGGAGTCTTTCTGTCAGATTCATGGCTGTGTCCCCCATTCCTGGCTGGCACATGTGTGCCATCCTAATGGATGGGTGTGGGGAGCCTGCAGGAGCGTCAGTGGCCCATGGTCACTGCCTTCCATGATCTGTGGGGCAGGGAGAGAGCTGACTCCTCCCATGCAGCAGCACCCACGGACAGAACCACAAACCACAGCGACATGCTCCTAAGAGGACTGCTATAGGAAGACAGTTCTAAGAATCAGGGCTCCCTCCGAGCATGCAGGAGTTCCTGCGCTGGTCTAGTCAGCCTGGGCGGCTGGGGAGGACACGCCCAAGATGGATGGACAGTAAGTTCTGGGTTCTGTCCCGTGGACCTCCACCAAAAAAACGGTTCTCTGCCTGCACCCCTCCATCCTCGTTCTGGGCAGAAGGCCGCCTTCTGAGGGCAGATTCAGGGCTGAGGGAGCTGGTTCACCTTGGGGACTCCTTCCTAAATTGTGGGGGCAGCTGAGGAATTGTCCTGCTCCACCGGTGAGAATGGTGTTCTAGTGATGCATGGCTGGGAACTGCGGGGGCAGGTGCTGAATCAAAAGCCCTGGGCCTGAGTCTCTTTTTAACTGTGTCACACAGCACGAGGCCTCCGCTCTGAGTTTCATCTTCCTTCCTCACAGAATGGGCTCAGCACAGCCTTCATCTACTTTCCAGGATGGACGCAAGGTGGAAAAAAGAATGTGTGTGAAAACTAGACAGATGAAAGGGATTATAGTTAAGGCCTGGGACACTCAAGTCTACTAGATCATTTCTCTTAGTGTGATAGGCAGAATAACGGCTCCACCACAGATGTCCACCTCCTAATCGCCGGAAACTGTAAATATGTTACCTTGCAAGGCAAAAAGGATTTTGCAGATGTGATTAAGGATCTTGAGATTCAGAGATGATCCAGGATTATCCAGTGGGCCCCATGTAATCACAAGGGTCGTTACAAGAAGGTGGCAGAAGGGTCAGCGTCAGAGAGGGAGATGTGCTAATGGAAGCGGAGGTCAGAGTGTGTGGCTCTGAGCCAAGACATGCTGCAAGCCTGAAGAAGCTGGAAAAGGCAAGAGGCAGATTCTCTCCTAGAGCCTCCACAAGGAACACAGCTCTGCTGACACCTGGACCATTTCAGACTTCTGACCTCCAGAGGCAGCAAGATAAATTTGTGTTAAGCCACTAAAT